TTTGATATGTCAATTTTAAAATTTATAGGTATTAAATATATTATTATAAATATATTTAAAAAAATCAACTTTTATCATATAAAATTAAAGCCTTCATTAAATTCAAAACAATTAAGGGATTTTTGATTTACCTAAAAAATTTAAAATTTTAAATTTCTAATTATTAATTTTTTTTCAAATATAAAAAATAATTAAAATTTAAAATAAATTTAAAAACTCAATTTATTGAGAATATGATTTTACCAATTTCTTAAAAAAGTTAGCTTTTTTTTATATGGTTAATCCTGGAAATTTTCATTTGTAAACATAAAAAAATATTTTGACAATTTATTTCTCCTTAAATTATGTCTCATTTTAATGTTGAAATAAAATAAAAAATCATAAAATAAAATTTCAGAATCTTAAAAATAAAAAATTAAATTTCTCAAAATATGGATTTTTTGTGTGTTTGCCTAAATTTTCAGCTTTTTTTTCATATTTTCAAATCAAAAATTCAAAAAAATTTAGATGAATCAAACAATTTCTTAATCATTTTGAATGTAATAAATATTTTAATTTTATATAATAAGAAATTTAATTTATTTTTATAAAATGTATTTTATAATATATTTAATAAATATATATAAATAAAAATTAAATTTGAATTCTAATTTCTCGTACTAATTGAATAAAAATATTTTAATTGAGCATATATGTATTCATTAAACAAATTTTATTAGATTGTAGACGCAATTTTAATATCATCAAGATAAAAAAATAAAAATAGAAAATATTAAATAACTAATAATCTATATAATAACCTTTGAAAAAGTTATTAATAATTATTAAAATTTAATTCTTAACATTCTAATTTCTAATATAATTTATCTCCAATCTAAAAATCTAATTTACTTTTTTTAACTCTAATTTAATTTTTGATTTGTCAATAAAAATAATCAGTATTTTTGTTAATTTGAATAAGTGTTAAAATAAGATTATAATAAAAAAATATTAAGATATATTTATTTAATAAAAATTTTAATTATTTATATAATTATTCTATAAGTTATAAGGAACAAAGTTTACGTACTTTGCCTTTTTACTTACTTTTAGTTAAAATTTATAAAAATAGGGGATAAAAATCGTAATAAAACTCCTAAAAGATAATTAAAAATAAAAATATTAAAAAATGCTCGCTGAAACAGACACTTTAATTAGGTGGGGTTGGGATAGACCTAACAGTTTACTAAAATGATTTTTTGCAAGCATTTACTCGAAGTGTCGGTTCAATTATCCGTTATTCGGACGAGCAGCTCTTATCCGTTGGTTCAATTAAAGTAGTACTCAATTGGTCCCGCACTTTTCTCTCTTTAGTCTTTACTATTTCCACACTTTTCTTTTTTCTTTTTCATTTTTAATTATAAGCATAGATTTGTATTTTTCACATTTTTCTCATCACACATAGGTGTTTAAATTTCAAAATACCAGGTAATCTAGTACTAAAAACTTGAAAACAAGGGATGGGGGTGTTTCCAAAAGTTTCATCTGAGAGGATTTCTCAGAAAGTTTTTCCAAAAAAAATTGAGAATAGTTTTTTTTTTTTTTTAAATTATCCAGAACAAAATAGATAGAAATCAATTTTTAAAAATACAGTTAAAATTTTGATTATTTTTTTCTAAATTATTTTTTAAAATAATTGTATACAGGTATAACTTAAACTATTATTTTAGCTTTCTTATCACCATACTTTTTGACCATAATATTAGAAATTAAATTATAATAACAAGACTAATTAGACTTTTGTGCAAGCTAGAAATCAAATTAAAAATTAGAATGAAGAGCTATTTATAGGTATGCCACAAAGATGAATAGATTAGCATTAACTTTATTGTTATTTCTACTTTTCTAAAAGAATTTGAAATTTGACGATTTTAAAATCTCGTTTTTTAAGTGTACAATCAGGGTTAAGACTTAAGATGTATTCTAATAAAAAAAATAATAATTATAAAAATCTACATATCTCCTACAAATTAATTTTTATTTTACCCTTTTTTGTAGTTTTTCGAAAACAAAAATACCTGAATTTTCTCAACAATGGAAAGGGCCGCCAAGCTGCATCGGCTTCTCCGCACCTAGCCCAATAGTTAGCTGTCCGCATTTTTAAGATTTTCCCTTTATTTTCACTTACAGTTTTGGTTCAACAGTTTGCGATCTCACTCGATAGGGTTATGGGCGGTGCATTCAAACGCAAAACCTGAGAGATCAACCTTCCGAGTTAGTTTTTGTTCCTTTTCCGTTTGCTCGCTGCTGTTTAATATCTTCTCACATATATAAACAACACATCACTCGATACATATTCATGTGTAATGCATGCGATATATGACGATTCACAAGTTCTGATTTCATCCCTCAGAAAGTTTGTATTCCTCGGCAATTGGCGAGTGCCATTAATCGTTTGATCTGTCCATTAGTTATATTTGTGAGAACTTGCCATTGAATTCATATAGAATATCAGTTTTTTTTTCTTTTTCTTTTTTTTGGTTGTGGATGGGGTGGGGGCGCTGTTTTCGGATGATTATAACGTGCGAGTTCAAGAAGAAGCTCGCAGCTCAACTAGTCTGCCACGGGCATTCTCCGCCTGTCGTAGATTGGTTCTAAAGCCCCATGACGCCGGATGGGTTTTTATTTATAAGTGCGTGCAAAGGTAAATGCCAATTGATGTAGATTGAAAAATTTTTGTCTCTCCGCATTGCGATCCTTGTAGTTGCATACTACAGCTTTAGATTAGTGTTGACCAACCTTTCATTCTCTCTGTGAAGTGTGGAGTTTGTGTGTAGGTTGATCCTCAAGCCGATTATTTCTCTCTCTGATGTCAGTAAATTAAGAATTTCTTTTTCCCTTTTGTTTGGGGAACTATTTTATTATAAAATACCAATGCATTTGTACGGAGTGATCCAAATAACGAGCTTCTAAAGAAGGTGATCCAAATAATTATTAACAGTTTTTCTTTTTTCTTAAAGATTACCAATTTGTTGGATTGAGAAATAGAAATCTTTTTTCTGATAAAATACAAAGAGAGAGAGAGAGAGAGAGAGAGAGAAAGAACATATATGCTGACCTTGTTTGTTTATTTGTTAGTAGAAAATCACGTTCTTGGTGCAGCAATCGCTATATATTCTACAATGTAATAACACAATCAATACAAATCCATCCCCATAATATAGTATGTGTTAAGTTGGTTTATTCTATTTAACTTAGCACTTGATGAGTAGTATTCTTGAATTCTCTGTTATTATTCAACTTTTGTTTAGGTGAGACAGAAAGAAGTTAATAATCACTAACACAGACACTGTCTCCTACTGAACATGGTTACAGAGACACAGAAGTGGCAACTTTAAAAGAATAGGACCTGAATATAATGGAAGCACTGGGAAAAAAGCTAAATAATATAGAGGACACAAAAATACACACTCAATATGTTTACAACTATGACACTATGGATAAAATAGAATGATAAAATAATCTCAATACTACGTAGTAAGACTAATCCATCTATGAATTAACACCAAGTAACATGAGCTAAAAACCATAATGAATTTGTGATATTTGCTTCATTGCCCTTATTGCTTTATTTTATACGTAACAATGCATTTAGTTTCATATTATTCGTGAAAGTAAAATGTAACTATTTGATATAGAGAGGCATGTGCTTGTTGTGCTTGGACATGCTTGTATTGAAATTAATAAAATAAATAAAGAAAAATATGCTATATGGTGCTGCGAAAGTAGGACATTTGGAAATAAAGATGAACCACTAATCTGTTTGACATTACTAATGTTTATTTTCTAGATAATAGGAATTTATGATATAATAATATGTAGTAAATGATAACTGCTGCTGCTGCCAAAAGGGGGAAGACGATTGTTCTGTAGAATTTGGTTAATTTCTAGATACAGCAAACAACAACATTGCAAGACCTTTAATTTTGGGCGGTCCATTATGGAATAAAATTTTCTATATAGTATTTAACTTTCAAATTTTATTCATATAATAATGTACATAATTAGATTCTATTCATAGTCTGAGAAATGGAGAGTCTGGAGATGGATTGATACATTTGAGAGGCACAAGGGTGTTGTATGGAGTTGCTGCCTTGACACCAGTGCTGTAAGCTGCATCTGCATCTACTGATTTTTATGTGTATGCATCAAGCCTTGTTCTCTAGTAAACACTCTTGACAACAAAGTCCATATTCTTTGCACTTTTTCGTTTTATCTTTATCAAAAATTTTGTAAGTGATCTCAATGGTGACCTTAGAACTGTGGATGCCTGTGATTATTTTGTTTATGTTATATATGATTCTACATTAATATTATCAGTTTTCCTTTGGACCATTATTCAGCAGCTTCAGAATTTTGACTCTCCTAATTAATGTTTACTGGCAGAAAACTATGGGACACACTGACTGGGGATGAATTGCATTCCTTTGAACACAAATATTTGTCCGTGCTTGTGCCTTTTCAAAGTTATCTTTTATTCTCATTTTTCTTTTTATCAAACATTTATGTTGATCTTTTTGTGGTCTTAATTATGAAAGTCACTGTTTGTGACTTCTCGGTTGCTAGATAGACTTGGGTTGGCTTTCATGGACTCATGGTACGGTGTTTTGCAAATAAGGGAGTGGGTTTTCTCATTTGGAAGGGCTAGTGTAATAAAGTCAGTTTGGAAGCTCAAGGATTTGTTTATTATGCTGACATCTTTGCTTTCCGTTTTCATTCCTTTGTAATTTTGGAATAGCCTCAGTGAATCTTGAATTCACTTGATCATGCCAATAATTTTGTCCACTTGTTCTATCAAACCATTGACAAGGAACCTGCCAGAAACAAAATCTCTTGATCCCTATAATGAATGGGTTGCTTGCCAACAAATCAAGTGACAGTTTTTTTATTCTGGAACTGGGAATCTCTTGTAAAATATTTCTATAATGCCTATCTATTGGGATATATACTTTACATACTACCTGGGAATCTCATTTTTTATATCCTATTTTGGAGTTTGTTTCCAAAATGCTCTCCTTTTTGGTAACTGAACACTTTTTGCTTTATCTGTAGTTCTGCAGCATTTTAAATGTTCAAAGTATTGGTAAAATAAATTATGACTCTTATGTTTTTGTGATCAATGGTTGGTGCACAAGTTACGGCTTTGTCATTACTTTAACTGGATGGCAGTGCCATAAATTATGGTTAATGACACATATTACATTTTGGCCTTTCACTTTCATCAGTGTTAGATATAGTTGATGCTAGCTTAAAAGTTTGTCTATCTTCATTTGGGACACATCTTTTACTCACCGCAGTGTTTTAAAAAATGCTTCGTATCTTTGATTTAGATAGACTGAACGCACCACCAAGAGAAGTTGAAGAGTCTCCTGGCTTAGTACGAAGAGTAGCATGGCTTCATAATGACCAGACTACACTAAGTTTGTGTACTGATTGGTGGTGTAAGGTATTACTAATAATGACCAACCTTTATAACTAAGCATATCTCTGTTTTAGCACACCAAAAAAAATAAATAAATAAGTAAAAGTTGGCTTTACAAGTTCAAGTATAAGACCTTTTGCACTTTGTGGCTTAGGGAAACATGTAATGCCTATTTTATCCGAACATGGGATAGGAACACAGTGCTCTGTATGCTTAAACATCTGGTACTATAGACAGGTAGGATAGGATTCTATAAATTATAATATTATATCTAAGGTATCCTATTTAAGAGTCCTGTAGATTATAGTATTACATTTAATGTATTCTATATAATTATAATGCGTATAAGAAAGAATAGACCTTTACAGACTATTTCATATTCAGATTTGTCATATAAAAACACATTTCCAACAGTATCGTGGCCCATGTTCATTTCATACCCTGCCAACCTTGATTAGTCAAGGTTTTAATCAATGTTTTAAAACTGGGACTGATAATAAGTTAATAGGTTAGGATTCAACTGGTTCAACTGGTTTAACTGCCGATCAAACCAGTTGTATTAAAAAATATTTAAAAAATAAATTAGAAATTCAATAAATTTAGTATAGCCCATCTACATATTTTTATTTAAATTCCATAAAATACTCAAGATTGTGGGTGATATGGCAACATTAATATATTTTAGATTATTATTTGTTCATTTCAAAATCAAAAGTGTGTATATATATATATATATATATACATATATCTATATATATATAAATATGAATTTAATTAAAAATTTTAAGAAATAATCTTTTTTAAGAATCTAATTTTTACTATTTTTATATTCTTTTAATTTTTATTTTTTTCAATATTTAAATTAAATAAAATATATTGTAAAAAATTTATTAAAAAATATTTTTTCTAAATTTTTTATACAACTAGAGAGGTGGGGTGTTGGAAAAATTTTGAACCAATGTTGGGGGGGGGGTGCATTTGAAAATTTTGAAGTGGGGAGAGAGGGAGGAGTGTTTTGAAAATTTTTAAACCAAAAATTTGGGGGGGAGGGGGTTCTTTTGGAAACGTGAACTGTTGCGGGGAGGGAGAAAGAAAGAGATCCATTGGGGGGAGGGGGTCATCTGAATTGATTTTTAAAAATCGGCAAAACCGACTGGTTTTGACCGGGTTTGGTTGGTCCAACCTCATTTCTAGTTTTAGGGTATCATCCGGACCGTTTTTTAGGCCAATTCATGGTCAAATCAGTCAAACCGGCCAGTCCTGTCTAGGTTTTAAAACATTGGTTCTAATTCATTCTTTTTCATATTTTTTACTCCTAAGGAAATTTTTGAGAGAAATAGATGGGGAAAAAATTTGGGTTGTTCTGGATTGCTAAATTATACAGTTTTGGAATGGAAGTCTACTATGTTTTTGGTCATGTACGTAATTTGCTAGGGTGTTCATGATGCAGGGATTCCATGAATAAACTTCTTTTCCTGACATCTTCTTTAAAGCGATAGAGCCATGGACATCAAAAAAGCATGTATATATTGCAAAATGCACGAGTTTGTGCCTGCCAGCAGGTAGACAAACAGCCCCTTTGTGCATAGATATGTCAACTAAGCATTACGAGGAGATGAAGTCAGAAATTTTGGCCAGTCTGGGATGGTTAACTATAGTCTTAAGAATTTTCTCTTAAGTGTTTGCATTGCTGATGGTATTATATTAACTATTTGATTTCCAAGTCTTCATGCGATTGATTTGAATTTGAACTTTAGATTATGATCACTATCTTTTACTTTTAATCCATCACTTTCTATTCATTTTACTTCTTCTGATTTAAATGGTCATTTTGCAGGTTATGGGACTTGAGGAGTGAAAACTGTCAAACTCTTGAGACACCGTCTCCTGTAACTAGTGTTGAAGTGAGTGAGGATGGCTGCTATATAACTACTGCAGATGGATCTGCAGTTAAGTTTTGGGATGCAAATCAGTAAGTGGCAGCATTGATTATTTGCTTCTTCTGTCAAAGAATCTGTCTGAGTGGTGTATGAAGAGCTACAACATGCATTGCAATGTTGAATCAGCTTCATTGGATCCAAAGGTTGGCGATAAATTCATTGCAGGTAGAAAAGAACATGTGGATTCATGTTTTTGACTTCCACACTGGACAAGAGATTGGTAACTAACTTTGAACTCATGTGCCTTCTAGCGAAGAAGATGAAAGAGGTTATAATCTCCTCAAGTTGTATTGTCTGCTGCCTGATTGAAGTTTAATTACAACTATTCCTTTTGCTGTGAAGGCACCCTAGTTGCATATTAGTCCCAACTGGCAAGATATTGGTGTCATAACTTCACTAATGTGATCGCTTTCAATTAGCAATTATCATATATTGGTGTTCCAGCCATTAAGGATTAACATTAGCTGTTAAAGAGCAGGCAAATGTGGTACTTATGCTGTGTCATTCTTCATCTTATTTTTCCTTTATATTTTGTGCGTCTTTGCCCATGCCAGTCCTTGAGTCTGTAATCCTGCATAATTGACCAAATCCTGAATTTGGCTTGAATGTGATCAATCAATTACATTTAATATAGGGGTGCAACAAAGGTTACCATGGTCCTGTCCACTGTTTGCAGTTCTCACCGGGACAGGAATCCTATGCTTCAGGATAAGAAGATGGAATAATTAGAATGGTTCCTTTGATTGAAATGACAGTGTCACGTCTATAAATGGGCTAACTGTAAAGTTAAAGGTTGGGGCTGATGAGGTTACCTGTAAGATTGAGGAATGTCAAAATGCTAAAGAAGAAAAGGGAGTGAGTGATGTAAGCAAATACCTAGATGTAAATGATGCCATTTGGTTTCTGCATGCTTGAAGTGATTCACAAGCATAAGGATGTGATTTTCTCCACTGGGATGAAACTGAAGCTCCTACTTCCTTTGATCTTTCTTTCCCTCTGTTTGATCTCTTTTAGTTGACTTCTTCTAATTTGTTTCCGGGAAATCCCTTAAGTTTTTCAAGTACTAGTTATTACATAAATGAAATTTCAGTGGGTGAAAGGTGTCGTCTTTTTCAAAAGATGCGGATGGTCTTCAAAGTTAAGAGCTGTTTTTTGGATTTTGATTCCGCCTCTGTCTGAGGGGTGCAAGTCCTTTTCAAAGAGTTGTCCTACCAAGTCCTCGTTTTGACACAATGTAAGAAGATGCATTAAACTTGCTCCAATAATTTGATGATGAAAACAACAATGACCCAACTACATTCTACTGCCAGGGGTGTTTGATTTTGGAGTGAGACTCTTACCTTACTATCCGGAACTTGGAAGTTCATTTTGGGCATTTTTTCTCGTGAGAAACTGATTTCTCAAAGTTCATAAAAGCCGGCTTTTTATAATTCAAGATATCTATACTTGATGAACCAAATTGGCATTCATTCTTGGTTTCTCTAGTAGCTTTGATAGAGATGTGAACGAGCTGAGCCGAGCTGCTCCAAACTACTGGTAGTTTGTCCAAGCTAGAATTTGACTAGAGATAAAATCAAGTAGCTTCATTTTTACGTATTATTTTCTAACTGGAAGCTTATTGAGTTGAGTTTGGATTGAACTAAAAAGGGGACATAATGTAAATTCTCTTGTTTGTAAAGGATAAACCTATCTCAAATGAGCTTCTAATCAAATGACATCAACATCAAGTAGCTTTGGCTTTTTAAATAATCTTAGTTCTATTTGGAGTGAGAGAATAAGTTGCTTGATTCTGGCTCTTTTTCCACATTATCTTGGGCAGTTTTCTTGATGAGCATGGATCATATGCTTCAGCAAACTGAGGGGCCTTGTGTATTTTCTTTAGGCTTGCTCTTTGATCTGATTTTCTCTTTGAATGAGATGGGCCCAAAAAAAAAAAAGCAATGGAGGATGAGGAAAGGAAGTAGAAAGAATATTTGCATAACTAGGATAGATTGCACAAGCCAGATAGCCACTATTGGAAAAGGTTAGGATTCCAATGAAAATCAAAGGTAAGAAAATCTTTTAGGAATGGAAAATGCTAGTGTAATCTTTCATTAGAAAACTAGGAGCGTGCTGTTTATATTTGGGAAAAAAGGGAAATGACAGAAGTATTGATGCATGATGACATGTTATGGAGAGAAGGTGTTTACAAGGATAGCCATGAGATGATCCGCGAGACATTTCAATGGATTTTTGTTTTGACATATTCCAAACTTGACTTGACGAGTGGAAGCTGGTGAACGGTGAATTAAAATAACATTGTTCATTGAAGAGAGGTTTGGGCCATTGGGTACGTTTTATTCGAGCCGTGGCAGAAAATGCAAGGATTTGAAAGTAAAGAGAGATGGTCCACCCTTTTTTTTTTTTTTTCTTTTAATCCTACGGACGAAACGCTAATTCTTCTCAACCTAAGATAGAAAACATGTCAAATTTAGTAACAACGTCTATATAGATGTTAACTTATCTATTAATATGACTGACCTCAATTTATCAATCATAATAAAATAAGTTCTTAATTCTGACAGTCAAAGAGGTGATGTCCAGGATACAAATACACTTCTTACAAAACATGTCCACAATCATCCCCAAGTTTGTTTTCAAAGTAAGCTCTCTAATTCCCAACCTAGCTTGAGCGAAAATAATCGTTCAAAACCTCAATCTTAAACAAAACAATTATACAAAATAATGTTACATATATAAACATATATATGCACCCTTTAAATATAACTTTTCTTTATTTTTTAATATTTTAAGCTCTCCAAAACACTAATATTTTGTTATAGAAAAATTTTACCAGGACTTAAACCGAAGGAAATGACCTCTGAGGGCCATGGTTTAAAGGCCATAAAGTCCTAACAGTAATTTCTATGGGGCAAAATTTTGTGGGGTCATGGCCGGGTCCTTATCAGAAAGAAGGGACGCTCTATTATTTTTCCAAGTTGGCAATTTCTTTTTCCTTTATTTTTTTTGTTTGAATCCCATCGGCAAGTTAGGCTTGGGCCTTCTGGTCCGTCAGTCATCCATTTGCCCAACTTGAGGCAGCAGATTCCTGCAAAAAATTATTACAACTTAAAGCAGACATCCCGTTCTGGGTACTCTACAGCCTGTCTTAGGATGCAACGGTGTGCCCTTTACCCACATACTAAATCTCCAAATTGCCCTTAGACGTCACCCTCTTGAATTGATTTACAGCTATTAACGGCCTATAAACTTGCAAACCTGTCGAAGAGCAGCGCATCCGGAACAATTTGAGTTGTGAGAGGTCGAATTTGTCCTTCATCTACACAGGCCAATGGACGAAAATGTCCCCTGAGGGAGCAACAGCTGTCTAAGCCAGATTTTGGTGAATGACGGTAATTATGTATTATATTTGAATTTAATTTTAAATTTTATAAAATATATATTTAATATTATTATATTTAAATTTGAATAAAAATTGATATTTAGTGTAATAATATAAATTTAAATGGTTAAATTATTAAAATTTATTATTTTTATTTTTATAAAAAATTTAAAACTAAAACAAGAAATTGTGAAAAAAATAAATTAATAAACAACGTTAGAGTTTAAAAATATAATATAATAATATTTAATTTATTATAAATATTATATTTGAAATTGACTTAGTAGTAATATATAATAATTTTATTTAATTCATTAATATACATATTTTTTAATTTTATTTTTTATAAAAAATAATAATATGCTTTCAATTCTATTTTTTAAAAATAATTTATTAATTAAAATATGATAATTCAAGTTTATATTATGATATATATAATATTATGTCATATTAAATTATATATATTATTTGTATATAACATACATATATAAATATATATATATTCAAATTTGAATATTTTAATAAATCTAATAAGGAAAATTTCATTTTTATTTTATTTATTTCGGATTACAAACTTTCACAATTGAATTATATAAATCGAATCTTTTATCGATTAAAAATTTTAATAATTAGATTAAATTCATATTGAATTCTAATTAAAATCTACTTCAATAAGTAAAGCAAAAGGGGAAAAAAAATAAAAAATTACAAAAACCCCACGCACACAAAGGGACAAAGTTGTCAAATTGGCATGCATAATACGGCATCTTTTATTCCCCTTCCGTTAAATTTTTATATTAAGATATTTGCCATTAGAATTTTTTAAAAATTTTAAAATTTTTTTATGATGGTAGAAAAAAGACTAACTCATTTTTAAAATTTAATATATATTAAAAATGACTATTTATGAGAAAAAAAACTCTACAATGCAGCTTTTTTGGGGAGGAGTTGATTTGGTCCCAAGAGAAATGGCTAAAATGAAATTCACTTTTCCAGTGAAGCCAAATGCCACCAATATATCTATATATATATATATATATATATTAGAATTAGTAAAATTTAACTAATATTTATTAATTTAAGTAGTTGTAGCCTGGTAATTAATTTTTTTAATTATTTATATTACGTACAAAATGTAAAATTTATCCTAATTAAATTTTACTAAGCACGTGATATTTTATATAAATTATAAGAAATCTAACACTAATCAAAAAGATTATACCACACTACAAATATTTGAGAAGAAACGTTTTTAAATGATGGTTGTTCTCCTTTTTTTTTTTTTTTGTCCTTTTTATAAATCAAAATTTTTATATTTGTGTTTTTTGCGGACGGAGACGAAAACTGAAAGAATAAAATTGATACTTAACATAGCCAAAATGAAATTGACAAGTCTAGATTCACTCAACTTTGTCTCAATTAGACGTATTTTCAATAGCTTCATCGATTATAAATCACACTGTGTGAACTTTGTTGGACTACGACAGCCTTTTAAAATTCGCATTTGTACCCCCCAAAAGTCAAAATTCGACAAACCCTATTTTATGGGATCGCTGCTTATTAATCACGTGACTAATGAACCAAATGGCCGAAGTTTCTAATAAATATGGGATACACGCATGCACAATCCCTTAATCTATGACTTATTTTCAAACACACCCCTTGAACTTCTAATTTAAACCATTAGGCATCTAAGTTATTCTCATTTAAATGAGTTTTAAAAAATTAAATTTATATAAAATTGCTTTGAAAAAAATGAATTCTTCTAATTTCTTATGGCGTGAAAGGTTAGCATGCATTTCATTATTCAGAATTAATAAAAATGATTAAGCACTCAAATTGAAATGCTTTTGAATTATTTTTATAATCTCACAAAATTTATTTTGTTTCTTTTACTTTTTAACTGTCCATAAATAATGAATTTTATTCAAGATATTTTAAAAATAATAGCTCAACCTCAAAGCACAAGTCACATAACTGAACATTTACAGCATTTTGGTGGGAAAATGTGCTGTAGGGCCCAATAAATAATTCTTTTAATTTAGACCTTAGAGCCCTAATACTAGAAATTAAAAAATTCAGGGGTGTGTTAGCAAAAAAGAGCTAATTCAAGGGTTTTTTGCGTTTTTCCACTATAATTTTGGTCCCACGTTCACGAGATTCACGACCCACCACCCGCATGCGTGGTCAAAATCATTGGTCGATGAATTCGACGGTCGACCTCCAGTGAACCGGTTCAAGTTGACACTCGAAACTAGCCACCCGGTGCACCGCGGACCCGCTTCTATTTCTTGTTAAATTATAAGACAGGTGATTGTCTATTGGCCCTA